ATTTGGAGACCACCTGGAAATACTAGGATTATAGGTGAAACTGGAAATTGAAAAGCATTTTGCACATGAACAATGGGAAATGACTTCTCCACCATGGCCAGGAAAGCTACATGGATTGTCCATGAAGTCACCATGAGTTGAGTTAGACTTGAAGGAGCCTTCATGAAATAAAAGTGACATAGACGTTAGTTGCTACGGTGAAATGTATTAGTATGATATCAAAGGATGGGGGGCGGGGTTTGCACACTTGCTTGGCAGAGTGTAGTCTGGATGAAAAAAGGATGAGAAGATAAGTCCTACCACTAGGCATATAATAACTCCAGGGAAAAACAAGGCATTGCTGAAATAGTTCATCAGGAGCAAGAGGATGACTAGGCAGGTTGGCATGGAGGAGGATGACATACACCATATTGATAAAACAGGAAGTGAAGATAAAGGAAGATCATTTCCAGAGGCAACCTGAGTATGTGAGTAATGAAGAGGGTTCTCATTGCTTGGAAGAGAGGTAAATCCAATGTGTTCACTGCTGATGTCCAATAATATCCTGGCTGTGGCGATATATAGTTCATTTGCATTCATGAAGAAGCATCAGGGTGATGCTTGCATGTTATTCTATAAAGAGGTCTCATTGCTCCTTTTTTAGAAATGGCAGTGGTAATTTTATAATTTTACATATAATTCTCAGCATTTTCATGAAATAGCACAGGTAGTTCTCAACGTATGACCACAATTAACCCCAGACTTTATGTTGCTAAGCGAGACAATAGTTAAGTGAGTTTTGCCCCATTTTACAACCTTTCTTGCCACAGTTGTTAAGTGAATCACCGCAGTTGTTAAGTTATCAACACAGTTGTTAAGTGAATCTGGCTTCCACATTGACTTTGCTCATCAGAAGATCACAAAAGGTGATCCCATGACCCCCCGGAACACTGCAACCGTCATAAATATGAGTCAATTGCGAAGCATCTGAATTTTGATCATATAACCATGGGGATGCTGCAACGGTCGTAAGTGTGAAAAATGGTCATGTCACTTTTTTCCATGCCACTGTAACTTTGAACAGTTCACTACATGTAGAGTTGTAAGTCGAGACCCACCTGTAAATTCTGATGTTAAAATCCCTCTTAGCAAAATAATATATATAAATAGGATAGATCAACTAATGTTTTGCTTAAAACAAGCCCACCATAAAAAGACATGCATTGGTTCCGTGCAAAGTGTAAAAGAAAAGTTATTGAGCCTATTTTGTAAAGTGACACTCATATTTCTTCTAAAACATTTTCTCTAAACACAATAGCATCACTTAAAAATAAAACCAAGTGTTTCCTTTATGTCTTTGTGTAAATCCCATGCAGATACATTTAGATTGACTCAAGTGATTAGATTAAAGCCCATATGATTTCTTTAAGTGATAGCCTCATTTATATATACTAAAAACAGCAGTGTGCTATTTTTTTTAGTTTAATTGATTGTGTTAAAAATTAACTGGTCTGAAATATAACCAAGTAAAATGGGTTGAATTAATAGCTCAATAAACCTTATCAGTTTTGGAAGTAATCTCCTAATTGGATTTACCCTGCAATAATCCAGTCTTAGCATTGCATCTACACAATGTACAATATGTATTATAGAAATACATACACAAACCCTGTAAAGAATGCAGGGAGAATTTACACAGCTTATTAGCATTTTCTACTGCTAGTAGGTTTAGGGTGAAGTACTTCTGAATATATAAAGCAAGTGTGTTCAATCTTGGCGACTTTAAGAATTGTGGACTTCAACTCCCAGAATTACCCAGCCAGCCATGCTCCTGAGTGACTATATTTGCATGTGCATGCTTGCACAGCCACTTTGCATACCCTGCAGAAGCAGCTATAAGTAATTTAAGAAGCAGCTACACTAACCAGAAAAAAAAGATACAGCTTATTTTTATTGGCATGAAGTAATTCAGGTACTGTTGTCATAAATTTGTCTCCTTATTAGTTTTGTAAGACTGCCCACCTCAAACCATAAGGCTCTGGATGGTGCCAGGGGTGGGATTCTACCAGTTTGCACCTATTTGCTAGAACTGGTTGTTAACATTCTAAGCAGTTTGGAGAACTGGTTATTAGAAGAAATTACTGGCCTAATCCTGTAAGGAAGGCAGGAAGGAAACATTCTGGTGTTGCTTATAGAAACTGCCTCTGCATTAACCCTTATTAAATTCTTGGCAGGACTAGACTTCCTGTCTCTGGAACTTCTCTGGAGTTTTCCCCCCCCTCTTTTGCTGGTACTTGTGTGGAGTGTGGAGTGACCATTTAAAGTTACAATGGCACTGAAAAAAGCGACTTATGACCATTTTTCACACTTACGACTGTTGCAGCATCCCCACAGTCATGAGAGGCTAGGCGAGGAGATGCGTGCCTCGATGTGAGTGATATTGAGTTGGCCACACCCAGCCAATAACATGACCAAGCCATGTCCACCCAGTCACATGACTACCAAGCCACACCCATCACCTAAGCCACACCCACAGAACCGGTTGTTAAAAAATTTGAATCCCACCCCTGGGTGGTGGTGCCCTTTTTGGATAATCTCAGTGGTAGGATTCAACCAGTTCGCCCAAGGTCAGGTTTGCTGTCGTGGGAGGCGTGGCCGGTCCCCATCCTCCAGCTCCACCGCACATGTGTGATGAGCCAACCTGACCCTGGGCAAACTGGTTGTTAAATTACACACACACCCTGCTATTGAAGCAGAATGGGGAATTACCAGAAAAGTATTCTTATAATTAGCAGAAGTTTCTTAGCTTATATCGCAAATATTATGGAAGTTGATTAATACAATATTGTGTAAACCACGAAATTACTAAACCAAAGAACTAGACATGTTCCTGTAAACAAGGGTGGGTATGGAGAATAAGAGATGGTGTAAGATAAGTACGTATATGCTGAATTGTGCAAAAGGACTAATTAGACTTACTTCTCCTTTCTGTAGTACATATGTTATGGTATAGCTTGATAAGAGAAACGCCCCGAGCTAGGCTGAGGCTGTGAGCTGTATAAAAGTAACACCTCAGGAAGAGCCGGGGGTTCAGAATTTGCCATGCTAATGCTCTGAACCTTTTGCGCAAATAAACCTATATTCTCCTACCCTTCGTGGTCTTGTGTCCTGATTTGGAAACAAGATCTGCTGCAACACTATCAAAGTGGATCCTTGGTGCTGCACTGCAATGGGAAAATGGGCTACGGAGTGGCCGGCATGAGAGAAGGAGGAGGAGCAGGGAGAAGAAAGAGGGAAAGTGGCCTTCTTCTCTCTTGTGCCAGCCACTCCCTTGCCCGTTTCTCCATTGCAGCGCAGTGCAGTGCCCAAGATCCACTTTGATAGCGGGGTGGGTGAGTAATTTAATAACTGGCT